ACTTTTCAACTTTATATACAACTATTCCCCACGATAAATTAAAGTCCAGGCTTTTTGATATCATTGACAGCTGCTTTTTCAATAAAAATGGAACTCGTAAATTTACTTACTTGGTCATTGGTCAGTTGCAAAATTATTTTGTCAAAACATTCTGATTGCACGCACAAGTACTCTGAAGTTGACATCAAAGAGATGCTTGAGTTTCTGATTAACAATATCTATGTGGTTTTTGGAGACCAGGTATTCCAACAATCTTTTGGAATTCCCATGGGTACCAATTGCGCTCCGTTATTAGCGGACCTATTTTTATATTCATATGAAGCAGAATTTGTGCAAAATCTTATGAAAAGAAATAAACACTTGTCGTGGCCTTCAACTCGATATTTAGATAAATCAACGTATTGTCAATTAACAAAGGTCATTTCTATGCTACGTCGATACGATATATTCTGGTGAGATTGAGATAAAAGATACAACAGAGTCTGACACATCTGTTTCATACTTGGATATTGTGCTTGAAAAAGACGTTAATGCTAATCTAACAACCAAGCTATATGATAAACATGATGACTTTAACTTTTCTATCAACCTTACTTATGCAGCAATATACCTTCATCACCTGCATACGGAGTGTATATATCTCAGTTGACACGCAAGGACTTGCTCTACGTATGAACAATTTCTAAAACGAGGTAAATTATTGACAAACAAGTTGATGAAACAAGAATATCAGCCGTCCCGTTTAAAGTCATCATTTCGTAAGTTCTGTGGTCGATACAATGATCTTGTCAGCAAATACAATTTATCATTCAGTCAAATGCTGACTGAAGTTGTTCATACTTATTGTTAGTCCAGTATTTATACACTGAATCGATTCTGGGATTTTTCCGTTATTTCCAAATCATGACAAGGAGTACACGGTGGGTCTGACTGTTCGGCAGGGGATGCTCACTCCTCCATGGCACCTGATCCCACCTCTGATGTTTCGGAGGTCCGCGTTTGCTGTGCTCTTATTTTGTATTGTTTTATGGGCTTTGAGATTGAATACTGTTCGTTATCTCCATATCCTTCATATAAATCCTAACAAACAAAGATAAGTAACGGGTTCCAGTAAATGTTATTTAACAGCGGCGGTGAAGGACAACGTTCAGGAGTTCTGTGCAAAAATTTATTTGAGAAGTGGTGCAAGTCAGATGTGGATACTTCAAATCTCCAAGGAATATTTAAATAAATATGAGATCACAAGATTTTACAAGAAAGAAAAACGTCAAAACGCACGACTTTTTAACACTTTATACAACTATTCCCCGCGATACACTAAAGTTTAGACTTTTTGACATTATAGCAGATATTCTTGAGGGGGTCGTATCAAATTATCATAGCTGCTTTTTCAATAAAAATTGAACTCCTTTTCATAAAATACAAATAAGTAGAATAAGGTTATTTGAAAAATTACTTTGGTTAAAATATTCTGATTTGTACATATAAACAAGTAGTCTAAAGTTGATATTAAATGGAAGCTTTAGTTTCTGATTGACAATATTGATATCTATGTGGTTTCTAGAGATTTGTCTTCCAACAATCTTTTGGAATTCCCATGGATACCACTTTGAGAAAAATATCAGCCTGACAGTGCAGAAAAAAAATAGCTGAACACAGATACACAGTTTAAATTGTTAATTAGGTCATGTAATTGAATGATATAAAGTAAAATATGTAACAAATCATCAAGGGGGATCACCTAATATTAACGTATGACAAGTTATTAGAAAAATACAATTTTTGATAAGAATGCAAAATAATACAAAATATGGATGGTGGGGCTTTTTTTCACCGCACTAACAGGCTAACAAAAATGGCGCAACAAAAGCAACATTTTTGATTGGTTTGAAAATCCGTAAGTACCCGACAGGTTAATTAAAACCAGATTTCTCAAAGCGGCATAATTGAATTATTTCGTGACATTGGACCAAGACAATAACAGAAACAAACTTGATCAGATTAACCCCAGTAAAAGGTTTACGAAGTCTGAAAATACAGTCAATAAAAAGAAGACTTTATTTGTTTTGGCGTGCTTGTCATGGCCATTTAATAATAAATTAGATATAACACAATATATGCGCCGATCATTATGATTATATGGCAGCATAGGTAAATGAATATAGATGATGAGCAAGAGAAATACAACCTTGATCCAAGGAGTCTGGAAAAAACAGTACCCCCCGGAGACAGCATTCTTTGCAAAATTATGCTTAACAAAGTCAATAGCCACACGCAACTGGAACATTGAAGGTCCGCAAAGCACATCAACAAGCTGGTGGATCCTATTCAAGATTCGATCCATGCCATGACGCTGAAACGAGAAATTAAAAGAAAACGAAAAAACAACCGGAAAAAAACAGTTTTAATGAAAATTGATTAGAAGAATGGCAGAGGTGCTAAAGGGGGATAAAATATAAAATTAAGGGGAGGGAGGGTGGGTTTTAAAAAATCTTTGCGTCTGCTTCGTTCAATTTACAGATTCAAAAGGAATATTCTAGAAGACATGCGCATACAAGAAATATCAAGAATTTTTTAAGCACCGAGTCCGATGATTTATGACGTTCAATGTTAAGAAACTAAGAGTTATCTATCTTTGCATGTAAAACATTAAGCTGCACGAAATAACCAGGTTTATCCATATTGGATAAACCCCATTATTTCGTGACATTGGACCAAGACAATAACAGAAACAAACTTGATCAGATTAACCCCAGTAAAAGGTTTACGAAGTCTGAAAATACAGTCAATAAAAAGAAGACTTTATTTGTTTTGGCGTGCTTGTCATGGCCATTTAATAATAAATTAGATATAACACAATGTATGCGCCGATCATTATGATTATATGGCAGCATAGGTAAATGAATATAGATGATGAGCAAGAGAAATACCACCTTGATCCAAGGAGTCTGGAAAAAACAGTACCCCCCGGAGACAGCATTCTTTGCAAAATTATGCCAAATGGGTCAAGGGACAAAGTCACGTGACCCATCCGCCACAAACTAAAATTGGGGCGGCAATTTTGCGGCCCAAAGTAACAACAGCACAAACCGTGCACAAATTAGGTACAAATCGTACCAAAATATATGTATTAAGCCAAATGGGTCAAGGGACATAGTCGCATGACCCATCCGTCTCAAACTAAAATTGGCACCCAGATCAACAATAAAAGCACAAATCGTGCACAAATTAGGTACAAATCGCACCAAATAACCAAATTGGTAAGTGAAAGGCACAAATTGCGCCTTAAGATTGAAATTTGAAAATTAATGCAAATTGCATTAAAAATGATAAATGTGCAACTCGCACACAATGGGGCTCATGACAAGCATCGCAGAAATGTTCACAAAACAAAATTACACAATTGATATCATTTCTCAAAGTATAAATAAAATTGTTTCCCAAATCTGAAAAACTCCAGTATCTCCCTTGCAATGCGTCCTAATATGTGGATAACTGATTGATGCACCACGACCCTTAAACTTACTTACCACAAATGTAGCACATGCACTATTAATCCTATGTCTACACTTCTGTCATTCTAAATTTGCAAGGCAATTTCTCAATTATTTTGAGGCAAAATATGTGACCATATATGTAATAAAAGTTTGTGGGAATACTAAGTAAATGTCAAAGCAATATTTGAATTGCAAAGTTGTGTCATAATATAAAACATATATATAAACAGAAGGTAAATTTACAACAATGGTCTTATGTAAGATTTGCAGGCTGCTGACTGTAGGGTTTTATCAATTTATCGATACGTATCAATATACAAGAAACATATCGTATCGAAAATTTACTTCCAATACGTATCGGACAGGCATTTTTTCTTCTAATTCTGTTAAAAAGATTGGAACTTCAATCACCAAAGATCAGATTTCACTAATTAAATCTGTTAAATAATCATTCAATTTTTTAAGGCAATAACACAATTTTTAGAATTATTACTAAAACATAGACAATTTTAATTTAAAATGTTGATTTTTACAGTCATTAAAAGTTTTGATTTGATAGTCATTAAAAGTTTTAATTTGAGGTGTAAGTTGTAATGACAATGAAACACTTAATTTTTATGAAATTCATACGTTAAATGATTTATAAGCCTTTTATGATTGACTTGTAATAGAATCCAATATATCGCATATATCTTTAGAAAAAAAATTATTGTATCGTATCGTATCTAATTTTTTTTCAATTTTGCTCAATACACAGCCCTGGCGCCCAACTGCCACCTTCCGATCTGCGTAATATTTTCCTCTGTAAACACTTTTGTATACAAGTGGGTTGCAACCCCAATGTGAAAAATCAGTACGTCTTAACTTCAGTTGACTGAATATTCAAAAACTGCAAAGCTTTGTTTAAAGTTTATACAATGTATAACGACCATATTTTGTACCTAAGAAATAAATAGTCCAATATTTTAAATCATAGTAGCAAAATATTTTGATTGATTAATTTTTATTGTTCTACGCCTAGTCGGCAATATTTTAGTCATAATTTGAAGATGTTGTCAAACAAAAATGTTCCAACAAGGAATTTACATGTTGATTACTAACCAATTAATCGCACCTTGATTTTAATATTAAAGTCTATGGACAGCGCATATGTGTTTGAAAGATATTTTAAGAAGTAATCTGAATTTCAAACTAATCCGAGTATTATCTCTTGATGAAAATATGCGTTTGTTTGTTTATTAAAATATGATATAAAGTGAATAATACCGAAGAAATTTAGATAAATAATTTTTTTTTTTTTAATCAAGGCCAGGTAACTCTTAGAAACTTTCAATGTGCAAAATGACCGTCTCTGTACATGTTATTAGTCTAGCGAATTTTGGTTCATTTCACTTTTATCTTTATCTAAAATTGTCGAAAATCCCTTCATTATACATTGAATACCTTAAGATGGACGGAAACTGATATTGGGATAAGGGTTTTGAGTTTAAATGTGAAAATTAGGAAATTAAACGAGACTTACCTTGGTAAAGGCGAAGTTTGATTCCAATTATTGGAGTAAATAAAAGGCACTGTAGAGATAAGGTGAATAGTACTGCGCAGCCGCCAAGTCATTGCTTCAAAGCTAAAATTTTTTGGGTTGATAGATTTGCAACAAAACATCAAACCCAAATTCATTTCACTAATAATTTCAAACAATACATTCACCACCTGCAGGGTGGGAGGGAGGCACCTTATCTCTACAGTGCCTTTTATTTACTCCAATAATTGGAATCAAACTTCGCCTTTACCAAGGTAAGTCTCGTTTAATTTCCTAATTATTTTTCGTAAACGTCACTTCCGAGATAATGTGAATCTTTAAAGCACAACACAAAAAATTTTTCAAACTGAAATCAAATTCTTTATTTTAATTTCAAAACAGCATTTGCATACTTATCATCATTCAGCACAGGTTTGTCATAAAACTTTCTGAAGGTTTCGACATTAGACCAACCTACTTTGGACAAAATATCATCAACAGGAACAAAGTTCTCTTTTGCTTTAGATGCTGATGCAGATCTAACACTATGAGCCTTAAAAATAGTAGTATCAACCCCTGCAGAACACATCACTGTTCTTATCCAACGGGCAACAGTATCTCTTGATACTTCCTTGTGTGGTTGTACATAACTGATAAAAAGTGAATCACACTTATTTCTAATTCTTGCAGTCCTTGATAAGTATTCACATAAAACAATATATACACAAAGCCTTCTATCTGGAGGATATGATTTCAAAACCATGTCAGACATACTACTGTTAGGTCTACATGTTTTCAATAAATCACTAAAAGTAAAAACAAAGCTATTTCTTCTTCTCGTCATGTTACTAAGTTTCATGCATGAAATAGTTTGTACTCGACTTGCACAAATTAAACTAATTAACATAACTAACTTCAGTGTCAAATCTTTCAAACTTAAGTATTTTACAGGTGACAATTTTCTCAAATACTTGATAACAATAGATGCATCCCAAGTATGTACATATCGAGATTTTGATGGTCTCAAATTAAAAACACCCTTCATAAATCGGATAACAAGTGGATGACATCCAACAGTAAACCCATCAAAAATCAGTCCAACAGAAGATAAAGCCCCTCGGGCAGTATTAATAGCACTATACCCTAAACCTAGGCGAAAAAGATGTGCTAAAAATTCAATAACAGTTTCTATAGTTGTACAAAATGGATCAATCGATTTTTCACTACAGTACTGAAACCATCTCGTATAAAATGTTTTATATTGTTTCTTGGTTCCCGACTTCCATGATGCCAAAAGGATCGAGGCTGCTTGATGAGAAATTCCTCGTTTTTGGTACTGCAACCGGACAATCGACATGCCATCAGCACCAACGAGTCTTTCAGAGGATGCTGCACATCTGTGCCTGGAAGTGTCAACAGATTGTCCATCACAGGTAAAATCACCGGATGATCCACCAGTTTTTCTAACACACGATTGAACCATGGCTGTGTTGGCCACACTGGAGCCACCAGTACACACTCTGCTTGGTCCTGACAAATCTTCCTCACCACACGTCCAATGAGGCTGAAAGGAGGGTTAAGATAACCATAAATGTTTGCCCAAGAAAAACTAAATGCATTAACATAACGGGCATCGGGATCTGGATGCCAAGAACAATATACATCAATTTGCTTATTCAACTTTGTAGCAAACAAATCAATTTCAGGTTGTCCCCATCTTAAAACAATTTTATGGAACACAGATTTGCTCAACATCCATTCTATTTGATCATCAAATTTTTTTTCGCGACATCATATCTGCTATCAAATTATCTTTGCCAGGTATGTGCCATGCACTTAACCACAGATCCCTATTCATACTCCATAGCCAAATTTCTTTTGCAAGTTTATCACATTTTTTAGAACTAATACCACCCATGTTATTGATGTAGGAAATAGCTGTGGTATTGTCCATAAATAATTTGACATTTTTATTTGTTACATCAGAACAAAAGCACTTTAACCCAAAAAAGCAGGCTAATAATTCTAAGTAATTGATATGATTTTCAGATTCATCTGTTGTCCATCTACCCCCTGATTTCAATTCATTCATAACAGCACCCCATCCAAGATGAGAAGCATCAGAAGTTATTGTAAGATCATAGGGTTCATGCAAAATTCTTCTAACTGATGAAGAAATATTAGAAATCCACCAATCTAATTCTAATTTCATTTCTTTTGTTATAAACATGAAAGCATCATAGTCATGTTGTGATTGTACAAGTGCATCAGTTTTTGCTCTTTCCATATCACGATAAAACAGCTGACCAAATTCTACTGCTGAAAAACTAGCCACGACCAGTCCAATGACCTTTGCAACTTCTCTAATTTTTTCTCTTGATTTTGTTTGTAATTTTTTACATGCCTCTAAAATAGATTCCTTTCTTTCTTCAGTAAGATAAACTATCATCAATTCAGAATCAATAACATTTCCTAAGAAAATGATTTTTGTACTAGGTGTGAGAACAGACTTCTCATAATTGACTACAAACCCTAGACTCTCTACTAGGGCTAAAGTTTCAGAAACATGATCTAAACACTCTTTAATACAATTGCCAATCAGTAACGAGTCATCAATATACCCAATAATGACATGTCCTAGTCTTCTAAGTGTTGCAAAAACAGGCTTCAGTAGTTTTGTAAAGAGTCTAGGTGCACTAGCTAACCCTTGAGCGAGACAAGTATACTGATAAATCTTATTTTTCCATATGAATCTAAGAAAGTCAACACTAGCAAAATATGTTCCTCTGCCACACTGACACTATACAGTATTTTGTTATTCTTTCAGCTAAAGTCAACACTAGCAAAATAACAACCTTGGTCATTTTTAGACAATTCTTCTATTCATATCTAAGAGCACTCTCAAAAGTATCTCAAAAGGTTTTAAAATGGTGATACACAATTTTTCAGTTAAATTCTTTCAGGTTTTTTCAAAATGACTCTAAATTCACATACCTTTTCAACTACTTCTGGAGGCGACTCTGCAAGCCTCTTCGAAAACAGATGGAAATGAAATCATCACTAGGATCCACGACCCCTTGCAGCTCCTCGACAAAGCGTCAATTACATCCCCTCATAAAGCGAATAAAGATTTAATTTCCAATTTTGTTGCTGATTTTGGACACATGATGTCTTTTACAGTTTTAGGGACATCGTCGCCAAACAAATAGTCTGTATACTTTAAATTATGACTACAAAGGTGAGTATATTCACCCTTCATATCAGGTTTCATAAATTCTCTACGCAACATACACAACTGTCTGTTGGCATGCCCCAGCAATGCCAATGATTCCATAGCATTTCCCAAAAGGTCTAAAATCTCAGGATTGTCACACTTGCCGAGCAAATGAGTCAGTTTTGAGTGCACAAGCACCCTTGATCAACGAAGTCTGAACATTTTGCATCTTCTTATCGGAAGATTTTGTAGTTGGGCTCAAAAAATCCCAAACCATTTGGTTAGTTTTCACAGTCACTAATGCTGAACAGTTTTCAGGACGATTTGTCGTTTTTAGAAGCTCATTATATCGTTCTTCCTCGATTCCCTCTCGGAACCAATCTGTCACGAGATTAGCTAGTTCATCATCAATAGGTTTATCACAAGTCTCTTTAACTTTAAGTTTCTTACCGGCATTTACGTACTGTTGTCCGTATCATTCAGAATCTCGTCTAATGCGCGCTTCCTCGAAGCCGCTTCACCGGAAGTACCCGGTTCGTCCGGGGTATCGTCCTGACGATCTTCATATTCTTGGTAATCATAATCATACAGATTTTCTAGCTCTGTCATACGATCGTCTTGTTTCTTTTGATTCTCTTGAATCGCTTTTAATATGTTGAGAATCTCATTCTCGTTATTTGGCGCGGAACTATCATGTCCTCCGCCATGACCACGAGAACACGTGGAAGTGCCAGTCGAAGTCGACGAACTCGACGACGAACGTAAGTTAGACGGTGTCTTCTCCGAAGACGATGATTTGTTCGGTAACGGGATGTTTCGCGCCGATGCATGGTTCGCACCGCGATGTTTCGCGCCGATTCTGTTTCGCGATGAGATGGTTCGCCCCGCGATGTTTCGCTCCCAGAACATAAAATGTATGCTATTTATTTCGTTCGTTTTGCAAAAAAAAAAGGATTATATTATAATATCTGTAAATATTGATGTAAGTATCGAAATTTTGTAGAATATTAATGAACATTAAATTTGACAAGTTTGGCTTTCCAGAAAGTCTGAAATGTCATCTCTTTGGTATCAATAATGTCAAAGAAATAAAACAGAAGGGATTATTACACCTGAAGTTCCCAAATGACTTATATTCACCACACTATAACACATTTCCTCTTTTAAAAGTGTTCATATTATTTGAAACATTTTGCAACTCTAATTCTCTTTTACGTTTAAAGATGGTTATGTCCCTCCATATTAAGAAGAGGTCTGGAAAACAAAATTCTGTGCTAAAAATAGACCACGTGCTGCTATCAATGAACTACTTTCATGGTTCTTTACACTCTTTTTGAAGACAACGATACCTTGTTTTGAACTTGAAATTATCATTTAAAAGTGCAAAATTTAGGCATTTTCTCAACAAATGGTTGTAGAGAGAACATTAATGCACAGTTTGCGTATTTTTTTGGATTTTTTAAGGCTCTGCTGAATTCTGTAGCTGCGCAGTTCTAAGGAGCATATCAAAAGCATTTTTCTGCAAAAGTATAGATTATGTATGCACAACATGCATTCAGTTATGCATATTTATTGTATCTTTATCATAAATTCTTAAAATTTGATCAAAATATAATGTACTTTAGCCATTTGAAGAAATGTTTACATTTTGTTCTCGCTGCACTAAAGGTGGCCGTACATCCCCCTTAACATTTACGATCCGTTACCTGTGGCACCGCGTATTATTAAAAGTCATGATTTTGAGCATACAACACATATTTTTATCTAAGATTTAATAAATGATCTTAAATTATTGCAAAATAAATGAAATATTAAAAAAAAGAGGGGAGATGTTTCGCGCCGAAATCGGCGCGAATCATCCCGGCGCGAACCATCTTAGTACGAAACAGAATAGGAGTGAAACATCCCGGATTCATTTGTTCGGGGCTTTTTTCTTTCCCTTGACCGGTGCTTTATCATCGTCAGGGTTAGCATGGTTAGGAGCGTCCGCCATGACGCACGTGGTTTGAACTTTCAAAACCGATGAAAAAATATCTGACCACGTCAGACGAAATCGCCCCCGAATACTGATCTGACCACGTCAGAAACAAAATTGAACTCTGAAAAAGTTCTAAGAAGATATTGACCTCGTCAATATGTAAAAATATATCAAAATTGATCGAGCAAGTGAGACCACGTCTACTCGCTCCGGCTACTTGCAGTTCAATGACTTGGCGGCTGCGCAGTATTATTCACATTATCTCGGAAGTGACGTTTACGAA